AACAGAACCACACATAAGAACTTTATCATCTTTCGCCGAACAAGGGACAACCGTTTTGGTTGACAACGGCACAATGCAGAAGAAATACTGCGAAAATCTAACAAGTGTATGATTCTGTTTCCACCCAAAAACTGCCAACATGATCACTGGAGTTTCACCCTAGTGGTATGAAAAACACTAGTGAGGAGTATATTTCACGACTACTGCATATCGGGTTTTTCACGAAGTACCATTTCACGTAAACGGGGCGAAATTCCACTGCTCATCACGGAAGCAATTTCCATGTTCTTAGTTTATCAGTTTTATGGCACCATCCCGACCGAAAAAGAAGGGTAGCGGTAGTCATCATAAAAAAGGAGAAAAAAGTCAACAAGGGTAATACCTGGTGCAAGCCTCGTACCGACGACGATGATGATTGAATGTAGACGGCCGTCGAAGGACAATTGTTGTGATGATGATGAAGTTGGCGCTTTGGATGCTGAGGATTATGCGGAGGAAAAGAGGCATTTTGATGAGGTCGTTTGGAGCTTCGAAACGTACCGTTGCAGCATAAGGTTGTCGTCGGGTCACGACTTCTGTTTGCAGATATACGGAAGATTTCCGCGTTGAATTAGAAACTTTGCAGACTAGTCTGCTGTCACTAACTCCCGAGGAGCTGGAACTGTATGAGCTGGTGTTTGGAAAATCTTCACTGTGCGCTGCTCCTCAGGTGGGGTGGCAACCCGGAAGAGTACATGGGAAAGATTCGTGAACGGATGGCTGTGAATCAACGGGTAATTGTAGTTGCAATTAAGTGTAGTGGTAGTGGTTTATAGCGGGGAAATTGGGGAGGTTTGCTCAGGTTTGCCATTTACTGTCGGAAGTGTCCACACAGATGTTCAGTGAGACCAGCCCAAGGACGGCAGCTAGAGTCATCAAACCACCTAAAGGTCAGCAGGTTTGTCGCTTTCATCGAGTGTTTGGCAATATTATTGATGAACTCCAACACAGTGCCAGGATAGAAGCTCTTGTAGAAGTTGATAATCGCTACTGTGATTGTCTCCGGAAAATTTCCAAATTGATCTATTCATGAGAATAGCCAGTGTTGGAGGAATATATGTTCGCTCTCCTCGGCTGAGCTTAGGAGGTTCCTCACCAGTTGTAGAAGTTTAGTTATGAATTGGTGTAGAAGTGTGCAGGAAGCAACGAAAATTTCCCAAAATTTCCTCGAAATTTTCATTTTGTCATAGACACATGTGAATAGCAGCTCTCTGAGTGGTTGTTGATACATCTGTAGGGTATCAATCGCAGCCGCGTAACATATCCAAGGTCCGATCGACACT